ATTCATATATAAACACAGGTATAAACAAAAATGCTGACATTTACGACTTAATTCAACATACAAATAAAGTATTACAGTCTGTCTTTAAATCTGTTTTATAAATTTTGTTGTTATAACGTTACTGAGGTGATTATATTCTCTAACCCGTCCCTCGCACGTAAGTTACGTAATTTGATGTATTTATTGACTTTATGTATTTCTACATGTTCATTCGGATGTTTCAAGTTTTACTATCCTTGTGGGGATATTTTGTTGTGTATATAATACCAATTTTTTTTATAATTCTATGCAGTTATGCAAAATGAATGTTCTATTTTAAAGCGTTATGAAACAAATATTTCGCTTGCGCCTCCCAGTCAAAGATAGATAGATAGATAGATAGATAGATAGATAGATAGATAGATAGATAGATAGATAGATAGATAGATAGATAGAATGAAAGAAATAATGACAGTTTGTCATCTGTCCCCTTTAATTGGATGCTGCTGTCTTTGACATTCTGCAGCTGAGTGTCCGCAGCGCCGCTGTTTTGCTTTGTGGCACAGTTCTGATGGGGGCGTGGCCATCCCTAAACCAACCAATCACCGTCGCGGAGACAAACGCTGCCGTCTCTTATTGGTCTCCGCGCCTATCAATCACAGGGTGAGCCCGCTGTCCTCCAGAACGCACTTTATTCCGAGAGCGAGTCACGGATCCGTCATGCACCTCAGATGGGTGAGTTTAACATGATTAACTTCATATAACATACGATTGTTGCAATTAAACACGTTAATATAGGGTGAAATTACGTGTTAATGAGGATAAGATAATGCGTGCCATTTGTTGAACGAATAAAAGACGCAGAACTTAATACTCTGTTATGAGATCATACAAATGCATTGGTCATCATAATCATATTTTAGCTAAATTTGAGATGTGTTGTTGAATGCGAAGTGCTCACGTGGCTTTGAGAAACGCTGTGAATGTTTAAAGCATCAGTGATGCAGCGGTGCAAAAATAACTTTCTGCATAATAAATGATGCTCAGGATAGTGCAGATTATTCACTGCTCGTCTAACCCACAGTCCACAGATATCAGATACTGGTTGTGGTTTGGATTAATCACTGCTGCTGAATTGCCATGTCATATTTTAAAGAGACATTCACTGCAGCTTGTGCATAATCATTGTAAAGTGTCATTATAATGTGTGTGTGTGAAGGTTGAATGGGTATAAGGCTTATGATGAAGGGTGCTCTAGTCATTCAACTGCTTATTTAAATGATTATGCATACAGTTCAAAGGCTTTAGCAGAATACATTTTACTGAATGACATTATCAATGGACCCACTGTTAGTTTTCATCATTATGCATTCATGGATATTTTTGGCAAAGCATCTTCAACAGTTTATTTTCTGGCCTTAAAAGATGTCTGGCAGCTGCACTACTGCATAAAATATTACAAAATAAGTCTGTTTATTATAACAATATTTGCTTATGATCATGCAAATATTATTCCTAAAGATTACTTACTGAAAAAAAACGCACTGCTAGGAAATTTCACAAATAATTACAAAGAATTGTCTTTATAAACACGGAAGACAGAAATAATATTCTCAAATAATCACTTTGAAAGATATATTTTGTACAGTGTCATTTCTGCATGTTTGTTTTTTTGAGAGAATTCAGTATGCTGCCAAATTTGATAACATTAGGCTAAATGCTATTATTAAATGCATTTAATCAAAACTATTATTTAAATAAACTTCTGATGTCGTGCATTTGAGAGCACTACGTCTATGCAATAATGAATGTGTTTATCAGGTCATTTAGCCCAAAGAAAGCTGTGTGTGTACATTCTACACATCCTAAAACAGATTTATGAGGTTTACGTTGCACTAAAAGCCTTCTTCATTTTGACAGGCCTTCGATCGCCCCGATGATGAACACCAGTCCATCCCGGGCCGTCCCCGACTCGAGACGAGACAACCGCCAACTTAATTTAGGAGTGTGATTAATTAAACCGGGGCCCGTAATGGAAGGCACACACACTGTGCTGCGTCTGTACAAACCCATCCATGAGTTGTGCTTCATCAGTCTGTACTTCCCAACAAGGAAATCCCGAGGTTTTTCACGAGCTGCTCGTGAAGTCCAGCCTCTGTGTGGAAATCAGCATGAAGACCCGGGCAGAACTAAACAAAGACGCCAGTATTACAACTCAGCGGGTGAAGTCCAGTCCTTCCAGTCCTGCGAGGAAACAAAAGGAGCGGTTTCGCATATCCACTGGCTGGCCGTCGAACACCATCAACTCCTGACAGATCTCCTGTCTTTATGCAGCGAATGCGCAGACAGACTCAAGATGGGAAACCAAGACGGGAAGATCCAGCTGGAAGGAGAACATGGTGTTAGTAGCAGTAACTTCACTCTTCCTCAGTCCCCGGAGTATAGGAAAGCCTCGAGAGTTCGGAAGCTGAAGAAACTGGGATCCAAGAAGATGGACGGTGCTGAAGAGTTCCTGCAGAGCAGATTGAAGAAGAAGGCGCATATGGGAGCAGCATCCGAGTTTTTTTCCCTGGGAAAAGACCCGGAAACTCCAGGGTCGGGCTCTTACGTCAGCGTCTCACCGTTTCTTCCCATGGATGAAGACTTCCATATTGCCAACGATGGCTGGGATTTCATGGAGGAATCTCGTTTTGAATGCGAAATCGAGTCTGAGTTTGACAACCAACTCCGTTTGGATTATGAGAAACCGATTGGGAACGAACGTGGACGTATCAACAGTTCCGGGACTAAACGTCAAGAGACGTTTGGAGGGAATGACGATCGACTCAATAACATGGCGAGAAAAGACACGGAAAGATCTCTGATTGAGGAAGCTGTGTCTCACTCCTGCTCAGATGTGGAGGGAATCCATCAGAAAGCATCCGGACAAGAAGAGATCAATCGTTTACACCGGAAGAAGCCGTCGTCTCCGGTCGACGCCAACTCTAGAAGCTCGAACCTTCGCTCCTGGACCAGAAGCCCCACGTCAAACTCTTTCTCCGGGGTTTTTAACGTGTCTTATCCTCCGACCAACAGTCTCCGGGTCATGTCTCCGGTCCTGTCACCGATGTCTTCTCAGCTTCCCAGTCCCCAAATTAACCACCGTATTGTGTTGCTGCCTGAGGAGGATGATGATGGGAATAAACGTTCGTCTAGAGTCAACGCTGAGGTTATCGATAACAACGGCAACCGCAGAACGGCCTCGCGCCTCGACCTGAACCTCGGGAACCATTTCGGTCCGAATGGAGCCGTGACCGCAGGTAAGCGACTGCTCTTCTGTTTCACACTGAGGAAGAAACTGTGCGAAATCAAACCCTTGAGTTGTCCGATATTTCTCACTTGCTCACTTATCGTTAAAATAGATTCGTGTTTTGATCATGTTTTACAGTAAAGTCCCCCTGTAGTCAATCATTGTATCCCTTAAAACTCATCACCAAAATCACATATTTAAACGTTTTTTTGTTCTTCATGCCGTAAAACATCTTGAATGTAACTCGACACCCTTTCCTCATTTAGTATGCACGGTTCTATGAATATGCAAATGAGCCCCGCCTCCACTCACTCCCTCAGCTGAGAGATCCACTGGTTGACGATCACACGTTGATCTGATTGGTTACAAGGTCGTTTGTGACGTCAGAAACACCAGCGATTTCAAACCGTGTTTTTGAGACTGTCTTTGGTTCACTGCAGTTTTAAGGAGTAAATACTCAGCAATGCTGTCGACTTATGAACTTACACATGGTGTGTCTTAAAGCGTATTAAACACCACATAGACACATAAACAACATTAAACGCTGGATTTTTTTAATCACAGGGGGACTTTTACTGTAAGCGAGGTTCACTGGCTAGTTTATTGCTGCATCATCAAATCATTTTCATTGAACATGTATTGGATCCAACAGGCCAACATTATAAGAGAGGCACAAAGTAAAACAACATATACAAATAAGACAACATGACATAGCCGATATGTGATGGTTTTAAATTGATTTAAAAAATCAGTGATAAATATCGCTGGCTGATACATCGGGTCTGTTCTTGACTATCCGCAATCCACCTTATTTTGCAACACAAAATTAAGTTATTTTCTTCAAATGTGTGAGATTTCCGGTTCACTAGCCGCTATAGGTCGACAACTAGAAGAAAATCAAAGTGCAGTAACATCTGCTACAAACTAGTGCATTTGTGATAATGATAATAAGATAAAATACCATTTTGCAATATACAGGTGAAACTCAAAAAATTTGAATATGGTGCAAAAGTTCATTTTTTTCAGTAATTCAACTTAAAAGGTGAAACTAATATATTATATAGACTCATTACATGCAAAGTCAGATATTTCAAGCCTTTATTTGTCATAATTGTGATGATTATGGCTTACAGCTTATGAAAACCCCAAAGTCAAAATTAGAATATTGTGAAAAGGTTTTCATAGCCTTTTTAAAAATTTCATATAACAAATAAAGGCTTGAAATATCTCACTTTGCATGTAATGAGTCTATATAATATATTAGTTTCACATTTTAAGGTGAATCTCTAAAATAAATGAACTTTTGCACCATATTCAAATTTTTATTAAAGCTGCATGACAGACTGTTTTTGTACAGCTAAAATAACTAAAGGCGAATGACACAACGAAAGCGTCACACATTTACAATCATAAACATAAGCTGGATAGTATGGAAGCTTGTTTCCGCCACTGAATAAAAAAAATATAAAAATAATTGCGACTTTTTATCTCACAATTGCGAGATATGAAGTCAGAATTGTGAGAAATAAAGTCGCAATTGCGAGATATAAAGTCGCAATTCTGAGAAATAAAGTCGCAATTGCGAGAAAAAAAGACAGAATTGAATTTTATCTCACAATTCTGACTTTTTTTCTCACAATTGCGAGTTTACACCTGACTCTATAACACATGATTGCGAGATTATATCTCAAAATTCTGACATCTTTTCTCAGAATTGTGAGATATAAACTTGCAATTGCAAGTTATCAGGCCAATTCTAAGAAAAAAAAAGACTAACTTTTTCCCCTCAGAACAGTTTATATCTCACAATTCTGGCTTTATAACACGCAATTGCGATTTTATATCAATCAATTCTGACTTTATATCAATCAATTCTGACTTTATAACACGCAATTGCGACTTTATAACAATCAATTCTGACTTTATATCAATCAATTCTGACTTTATAACACGCAATTGCGATTTTATAACAATCAATTCTGACTTTATATCAATCAATTCTGACTTTATAACACGCAATTGCGATTTTATAACAATCAATTCTGGCTTTATAACACGCAATTGCGACTTTATATCAATCAATTCTGACTTTATATCAATCAATTCTGACTTTATATCAATCAATTCTGACTTTTTGACACGCAATTGCGACTTTATAACAATCAATTCTGACTTTATATCAATCAATTCTGACTTTATATCAATCCATTCTGACTTTATATCAATCAATTCTGACTTTATAACACGCAATTGCGACTTTATAACAATCAATTCTGACTTTATATCAATCAATTCTGACTTTATAACACGCAATTGCGATTTTATAACAATCAATTCTGACTTTATATCAATCAATTCTGACTTTATAACACGCAATTGCGACTTTATAACAATCAATTCTGGCTTTATATCAATCAATTCTGACTTTATAACACGCAATTGCGACTTTATAACAATCAATTCTGACTTTATATCAATCAATTCTGACTTTATAACACGCAATTGCGACTTTATAACAATCAATTCTGGCTTTATATCAATCAATTCTGACTTTATATCAATCAATTCTGACTTTATATCAATCAATTCTGACTTTTTGACACGCAATTGCGACTTTATATCAATCAATTCTGACTTAATAACACGCAATTGCGATTTTATATCAATCAATTCTGACTTTATATCAATCAATTCTGACTTAATAACACGCAATTGCGATTTTATATCAATCAATTCTGACTTTATATCAATCAATTCTGACTTTATAACACGCAATTGCGATTTTATATCAATCAATTCTGACTTTATATCAATCAATTCTGACTTTATATCAATCAATTCTGACTTTATATCAATCAATTCTGGCTTTATATCAATCAATTCTGGCTTTATAACACGCAATTGCGACTTTATAACAATCAATTCTGACTTTATAACTCGCAATTCTGACTGTATATCTCGCAATTCTGACTTTATATCAATCAATTCTGACTTTATTTCTCGCAATTCTGACTTTATAACACGCAATTGCGAGAAAAAGGTCAGAATTGTGAGATAAAAAGTCGCAATTACCTTTTTTATTTTTCATTCTGTGGCGGAAACAAGCTTCCATAGGATAGTGATGCTTTCCTTGGCAAACACTAGCAATGTTCATTCTGATTTCTCAGGCTTGTCATGTGACTCGGAACAAGAGTTTCGGCCTTTCCAAGAGTTTTCGCTGTGTTTCGAGTCACTAAGGGTCAAAGCCACCATGTTCAAACACTCATGAAAATAAAGGTCTCCTGTTGAACTGTAGGAGGCTGCTTTAAACATCCGCACGGGTCGCTTCAGAAGCCCTGCACATTAATGAGATGAAGAGGATTAAACACTTCTGTTGCCGGATCAGGACTCGGGAAGCGCCTAAGCTGCGCTGACCAGAAAAGAAAGAATTCCCATTAAGCGTCGTCTGCCCTTTCTGTGATCTTTCTCTAGTGAACATCACAAGCCCAAATGCACTCGCTTGATCTGATCATCGACTATCAGATGTGGGACAAAACACAGTTCCTTTGCCCGAGGCTGAATAGAAGCAGTGAAGTCTACAGTATATAAACACACATCATCACTGGCAGTGTTCACTCTCTGCTTACAAGAGACAATACAGAACAGTACAATACAGAGAGTTTTGTTTAGTTTACTGTGAGTACGGGTGAAACTCGAAACATTAGAACATCGTGCAAAAGTTCATTTATTTCAGTAATTCAACTTAAAAGCTGAAACTAATATATTATATAGACTCATTACATGCAAAGTGAGATATTTCAAGCCTTTATTTGTTATAATTGTGATGATTATGGCTTACAGCTTATGAAAACCCCAAATTCAAAATTAGAATATTGTGAAAAGGTTTTCATAAGCTGTAAGCCATAATCATCACAATTATAACAAATAAAGGCTTGAAATATCTCACTTTGCATGTAATGAGTCTATATAATATATTAGTTTCACCTTTTAAGTTGAATTACTGAAATAAATGAACTTTTGCATGATATTCTAATTTTTCGAGTTTCACCTGTAAATACATTTTTGGTCTTTTTTTTTTGATAATTTTTTACTTCATCGGAAGATGGTAAAAAAAATGGTTCGAAATGGTTATGGTTATGGTTCGAAACTAAAGGTTTTGGCACTTGCTATGTGAACACACACACACACACACACGCACACACACACAAATCCTGGACATGATTCGAAATGGTCCTGTAAATGGTGCTTTTCGGTCATTTTTGACCCAAAAAATGTACGTTTTTTTTTGTGGAGAATTTTTTACTTAATTGTAATGGTTGGAAAAGGTTTTGGCACTTGCTATGTGTTGGGCATGTTACTTAAAAAAGTACTTAGTTATAGTTACTAGTTACTTCTCACAAATAGTAACTGAGTTAGTAACTGAGTTAAATCATTATAAAAGTAACTAATTACCAGGGAAAGTAACTATTGCGTTACTTAAAAAAAAAAAAATCAAATAGGCCTTGATGTCAAATAACTTGGATGCCCCCAATATTAAATATGTTAAATTAATGAAATGGACACTAAATAGAATAAATTATTATGATAAAACATTGTACACTAATCTACACTATTGGAATGTTGCTGTGGGACAATGTGAGAGACACCTATTAAATTCAATATATTATTTTAAATATTATCATTACTAGTAGAACAATAAAACATAATAGATGTTAGAACTTTTAATATTTAATATTGCACAGACCACAACTGGCCAACAAATAAGTCCAAAAATAAATTATGCTTCTTAGGAAATGTACCAAAAATGTATAAATAATAATAAAAAATATACAGAGTTTAGATGTATGGCTTTGATTTTCTTGCATTTTTCATAACAATACAGATAAAATTCTGTAACTTTTTTAAGTTCACTTATTAAAACGTTTCTCACTTCAGCAATAATCTGCCGAGTGTCGTGTTTGAGAAGAGATCAAACTTCAGTCTGTCCTCTAAGCGTTCAAGATTCACCACAGTTTAAGCTGGAAATTACATTTTCAGGTCTACGTTCAAAAAGCGAATAAATGGATTATAAATACAGTGTAAATATAATTTAGTTTAAAAAACCCACACAAAATATTAAATAATAAACATTATCAAACTAAAATATAATATAGTTATATTATATTCTAAAATATAGTACATTAATTGCATTGACAAAAAAAAAAAGTTCTGTCATTTGTGTGTGACAAAACAAAACAGAAAACCTTGATAATAATGAAAATAATAACCTTTCAACAAAACATTCAGGGAATTTAGAAAGTTCTACTGAAACGGAGTGTATAGGCCGAGTTTAGAAGTACGTTTGAGAATGAATCGCTAGTTTTAAAAGAGAAAGTTTTGCCCAATTGCTCATATGGTTACGTAATCCGCCTGTGCTAGCGATGTGTGTTTATGTTGCAGTTTTATGCTAGCGATGTGTGTTTATGTTGCAGTTTTATGCTAGCGATGTGTGTTTATGTTGCAGTTTTATGCTAGCGATGTGTGTTTATGTTGCAGTTTTATGCTAGCGATGTGTGTTTATGTTGCAGTTTTATGCTAGCGATGTGTGTTTATGTTGCAGTTTTATGCTAGCGATGTGTGTTTATGTTGCAGTTTTATGCTAGCGATGTGTGTTTATGTTGCAGTTTTATGCTAGCGATGTGTGTTTATGTTGCAGTTTTATGCTAGCGATGTGTGTTTACGTTGCAGTTTGATGCTAGCGATGTGTGTTTACGTTGCAGTTTTATGCTAGCGATGTGTGTTTACGTTGCAGTTTGATGCTAGCGATGTGTGTTTACGTTGCAGTTTGATGCTAGCGATGTGTGTTTATGTTGCAGTTTTATGCTAGCGATGTGTGTTTATGTTGCAGTTTTATGCTAGCGATGTGTGTTTATGTTGCAGTTTTATGCTAGCGATGTGTGTTTACGTTGCAGTTTTATGCTAGCGATGTGTGTTTACGTTGCAGTTTTATGCTAGCGATGTGTGTTTACGTTGCAGTTTTATGCTAGCGATGTGTGTTTACGTTGCAGTTTGATGCTAGCGATGTGTGTTTACGTTGCAGTTTGATGCTAGCGATGTGTGTTTACGTTGCAGTTTTATGCTAGCGATGTGTGTTTACGTTGCAGTTTTATGCTAGCGATGTGTGTTTACGTTGCAGTTTTATGCTAGCGATGTGTGTTTACGTTGCAGTTTTATGCTAGCGATGTGTGTTTATGTTGCAGTTTTATGCTAGCGATGTGTGTTTACGTTGCAGTTTTATGCTAGCGATGTGTGTTTACGTTGCAGTTTTATGCTAGCGATGTGTGTTTACGTTGCAGTTTTATGCTAGCGATGTGTGTTTACGTTGCAGTTTTATGCTAGCGATGTGTGTTTACGTTGCAGTTTTATGCTAGCGATGTGTGTTTACGTTGCAGTTTTATGCTAGCGATGTGTGTGATGTGTGTTTACGTTGCAGTTTTATGCTAGCGATGTGTGTTTACGTTGCAGTTTTATGCTAGCGATGTGTGTTTATGTTGCAGTTTTATGCTAGCGATGTGTGTTTACGTTGCAGTTTTATGCTAGCGATGTGTGTTTACGTTGCAGTTTTATGCTAGCGATGTGTGTTTACGTTGCAGTTTTATGCTAGCGATGTGTGTTTACGTTGCAGTTTTATGCTAGCGATGTGTGTTTACGTTGCAGTTTTATGCTAGCGATGTGTGTTTACGTTGCAGTTTTATGCTAGCGATGTGTGTTTACGTTGCAGTTTTATGCTAGCGATGTGTGTTTACGTTGCAGTTTTATGCTAGCGATGTGTGTTTATGTTGCAGTTTTATGCTAGCGATTTGTGTTTACGTTGCAGTTTTATGCTAGCGATGTGTGTTTACGTTGCAGTTTTATGCTAGCGATGTGTGTTTACGTTGCAGTTTTATGCTAGCGATGTGTTTATGTTGCAGTTTTATGCTAGCGATGTGTGTTTACATTGCAGTTTTATGCTAGCGATGTGTGTTTACGTTGCAGTTTTATGCTAGCGATGTGTGTTTACGCAGAGACCTGCAGTTTTATGCTAGCGATGTGTGTTTACGCAGAAACCTGCAGTTTTATGCTAGCGATGTGTGTTTACGTTGCAGTTTTATGCTAGCGATTTGTGTTTACGTTGCAGTTTTATGCTAGCGATGTCTGTTTATGTTGCAGTTTTATGGTAGCAATGTGTGTTTACGTTGCAGTTTCATGCTAGCGATGTGTGTTTATGTTGCAGTTTTATGCTAGCGATGTGTGTTTACGTTGCAGTTTTATGCTAGCGATGTGTGTTTACGTTGCAGTTTTATGCTAGCGATGTGTGTTTACGTTGCAGTTTTATGCTAGCGATGTGTTTATGTTGCAGTTTTATGCTAGCGATGTGTGTTTACGTTGCAGTTTTATGCTAGCGATGTGTGTTTACGTTGCAGTTTTATGCTAGCGATGTGTGTTTACGCAGAGACCTGCAGTTTTATGCTAGCGATGTGTGTTTACGCAGAGACCTGCAGTTTTATGCTAGCGATGTGTGTTTACGCAGAGACCTGCAGTTTTATGCTAGCGATGTCTGTTTATGTTGCAGTTTTATGCTAGCAATGTGTGTTTACGTTGCAGTTTTATGCTAGCGATGTGTTTACGCAGAGACCTGCAGTTTTATGCTAGCGATGTGTGTTTACGTTGCAGTTTTATGCTAGCGATTTGTGTTTACGTTGCAGTTTTATGCTAGCGATTTGTGTTTACGTTGCAGTTTTATGCTAGCGATGTGTGTTTATGTTGCAGTTTTATGCTAGCGATTTGTGTTTACGTTGCAGTTTTATGCTAGCGATGTGTGTTTATGTTGCAGTTTTATGCTAGCGATTTGTGTTTACGTTGCAGTTTTATGCTAGCGATGTGTGTTTATGTTGCAGTTTTATGCTAGCGATTTGTGTTTACGTTGCAGTTTTCTGCTAGCGATTTGTGTTTACGTTGCAGTTTTATGCTAGCGATGTGTGTTTATGTTGCAGTTTTATGCTAGCGATTTGTGTTTACGTTGCAGTTTTCTGCTAGCGATGTGTGTTTATGTTGCAGTTTTATGTTAGCGATGTGTGTTTACGCAGAGACCTGCAGTTTTATGCTAGCGATGTGTGTTTATGTTGCAGTTTTATGCTAGCGATGTGTGTTTATGTTGCAGTTTTATGCTAGCGATGTGTGTTTATGTTGCAGTTTTATGCTAGCGATGTGTGTTTATGTTGCAGTTTTATGCTAGCGATTTGTGTTTACGTTGCAGTTTTCTGCTAGCGATGTGTGTTTATGTTGCAGTTTGATGCTAGCGATTTGTGTTTACGTTGCAGTTTTCTGCTAGCGATGTGTGTTTACGCAGAGACCTGCAGTTTTATGTTAGCGATGTGTGTTTACGCAGAGACCTGCAGTTTTATCCATTCTGCACTGAGAAGACTTTCTCAAGTGACTCTCTGTACATAGTCTTTCGAGCCTGAGGCTGACACACACTCCTGACACACACTCCTGCTCCAGTGCGCGTCTCAGAGACCGGATCATGTGATGATGGTGATGAACTCTAGATCTTACAGGACGGGGACGATTCGTGAATTGAGAATCACAGTGTAAAATTGTAAAAATACCTTCACTTTATAAAAAATCAGTGCCTCAGGAAATTAAACATATCATTGATCTTTAAATGATCGTTTTCATACTCAAATGCTGTATTGAGGGTCTGTTCAGCATCATAACGGTAGACTTTAAGTCTACAACACATTTGAAAAGTAAAGCTTCAGTTGACGAACTGCTTTGTGTCTCCATCGCACTATCTAATGTGATATCGCTGTTTAGAGGCAGTGTAAGCCTGTCAATGCCAGTCAACCCAGAAAGAGTTGAGATGTGTTTAGTGGCACACTGTTGTGTTTCTCAGATGACCAGATGACCAGATGATCAGGTGATCAGGTGATCATGTGACCTCTGCACTGCTGCCCATAATAAGAGTAATGAGAGGAAGCACTCCGGTCATATGAAGCTGATCAGCTCACGGACAGAGAGGATGTGTGTGTGTGTGTGTGTGTGTGTGTGTGAGAGACAGGCTGTGTGTGTGTGTGTGTGTGTGTATGAGAGAGACGGGCTGTGTGTGTGTGTGTGTGTGTGTGTGTGTGTGTGTGTGTCTGTGTCTCTGTGTGTGTGTGTGTGTGTGTGTGTGTGTGTGTGTGTGTGTGTGTGTGTGTGTGTGTGTGTGTGTGTGTGTGTGTGTGTGAGATTGTGTGTGTGAGATTGTGTGTGTGAGATTGTGTGTGTGTGTGTGTGACGGGCTAAATGAGCTGTAATTACCATCACATCACTAACATCAGTGTGTATTGTCAACGAGGGTGTATATATAAACTGTTGCTGCTTTAAATGGTCTTTTACAGTAATGTATGTTCCCAGTTTTTAAATTCTATTGACCCCGTCTCGAACAAAACAATACGGTAGTACTTTTCGGTTAGTGATGTCTAGTTATTTTGTGTTTCCCACCTGAGCTTCTTGTGTAAATCACCCAGAACACACTATCATCCACAAACACAGAGGACTGGGAGCTCGTTCTGAGTCTCTCGTGTGTGTGTGTGTGTGTGTGTGTGTGTGTGTGTGTGTGTGTGTGTGTGTGTGTGTGTGTGTGTGTGTGTGTGTGTGTGTGTGTGCAGTTGATGCTAGTTCAGTGTGAGCTTTATGTCGTCCTTCATCACAGTCCTGAACTACACAGAGCAGGTTTTGGTTCAATTAAAATTAACTAAAATCAAATACTTTCCTCCTATATACTGTATATTATGTGAATAACAGTACGCAAAAGAGTAGTATGTCTGAACTGATAGAATTCATCATTATTAAAAAGAAAAATAGGCGAAATCCCCTGCTACTTCCTCTGAAATACAATATATAACAGCAAATATATATTTCCTTCAGCTATCTCCATGTTTAATTAAGCCTGATGAAGTGTATTGTATGAGATTCTGTTACTTTCACTGTTCATTCTATCGCTCATCATATTCATCTTTCATTTAATAGCACAAGCCTAATTAATGTGGATTTAAAACATTAGTAAAGACAAGTAAGCAGTCATTAATCAAATTAGAACAAATAATCACATTACAAATAACACAAATAAATACAATAGAACAAAGATAGGCTAAAAATGAAATAAATAAATTATTAAAATAAAATAAATGAAATAAATAAAAAAATAAATGAAATAAAAATTAAATAAAATTTATAAACTTAAAAAAAAATTTAGGTCTTACTCGCCAAGACATTTTTTTCTTCATAATTTTGTGTGAATTCGTCCGTTCAAGCGCAAAACATAAATAACGTAACAGTTCATGTTTTACTTATTATATGAATATGCATTTAGAGCAAATGATATGCAGAACAGAGAATTTTTCACGTTTGCTTACAGCATTTTCACCCTTCAACGATTCCAACTTATTTAAGATCATATTTTTTGCGTGTTTGAAGCATGTATCTGCAATATGCCTCTAACATGAGCTCATATTATCATTGTGTTATTATTGTGTTGTTTCACACTGTAAACTGAATGTTTAAATACTCATATTATCAGTGTAGAGCATCAGCACAGACATATTGAACCGGTCATTCGCTGTGTATCAGCCCGAGGCTATAACACACTGCAGATCTGTGTACTGTAACATCATCTGTGTCGCACACACACACACACACACACACACACACACCTGACAGCTGCTGATCTTACCTAGATCTCAATCAACACTGACCGAACAAACAGCCACAGTTTCAAGCAATCACACCTCCAACATGCTCAAACCAGCTTTATATTATATTTAACGTGTGACAACTTGCCCCGGTCTGACTTACAGAGTCTGGATTTACATGTGTATGTCAAGTATAAGTTGTTAGATTTAAACTTTTAGTTTCAGTTCAGTCGAATTACTGTAGAAACGTCTCGATGTGTGTGTTCTGGCGCCCCCTGGAGGAGGAATCAGCATCTGCTGGACATTAATGTGCCATCGCCTCAGATTATTGCTCTTGCTGACAATCAGAAGGTTTTCTCATTTTAATATGTGAATGATGTGTATTTGTGTTGCATCCACAGCTGAGTCTGTGAGCACTGGTTGTTGTTGTCCAGATGGTGGCGCTGTTTGATTTCTGATCATTTGAGTGTGTGATTTAAACAGATCCCGTGTGAAAACAGTCCTGCTGCTTTTGTTTCACGGTGTGTTTTCTCCAGTGTTGAGGGAATGTGCTTCTTCATTTCATGAGATCTGCAATCAATTTGCCTTTGCGTTTGGACCGGAACCAGATGTTTAGTCAGCGTTTGCAGGTCCAGCAACCGATGCATTATCATAATGAGACGCGATTAATCACGGCGGCCTTCATTCTCATTATCAAAGTGTTTTTAATGCACCGATGGAGAAGTTTGCCAAGGAAACTAAGTAAAGCTTGGTCACGCAGATCAACGTCACACACTCGTTCACTTATTACATGCAGACACACGGCGCTGAATGCTCCTACACTGACATTGTGTTATATTATAAAGCAAAAATACAGCAATCTGGAACTCTAAAACTCTAAAAGAAAAGCTGCTTTATTGCATTGAGCTCAAATTATATCAGTAAAGACATATTTTAGACATGCATAACCTTGTGAAGTACGATTTAGAAAGTACTTTTGCACAAAACGCCCTCTCTTTATTAAAGGCCCCACTTTTGTTTCGCTTAAGAAACAGCTTAAAAGATGAATAACAGTCAAAGCTGTGAACATTAGGTAAGAACTGCATAGGCGTAGATTTATATCAAGCATTTCGGGATGTCTATGCACACACCGCACAAAATGCTTAGTATTTTTGTCTAATTTCCAGTCCAAAATCAAAGAAATATTAAGGCAAAATGCATTTACTTAAGTAGTAAAATGCCATAAGATATTATGTCTTGTTTTCTGGGGAAATAGGTCAAAATTAAGTGAGTTTTTTGCTTAAAACAAGTAAAATTATCTCCCAATGGGGTCAGAAAAATAATATATTTTCTGTTTGAATTTAGATTATTTTTCTGACCGCATTGGCGGATAATTTTGCTTGTTTACTCACTTAATTTTGATTAATTCCCCCGGAAAACAAGACATGAAATTTTATGGCATTTTACTCATCTAGTAAATGCATCTTGATTTAATAATTTTTAGATATTTGGACCAAAAAAATATTTAGTAAGAAAAGCATTTTTGCAGTGCAGGCATTTTAAAATACGCACTTTAAATAATTAATATATCAAGTACTTTATATAGTATAGGTACTTTTAATTTTTTGTAGCTCTATATGTCTGTTAGTTGTTATGTATGTTTTTTTTTGTTTGTTTGTTTGTTTATTGCTTATTTTTCTGTCTGGGACTACGGATGGAAATTAGCATTGTGCTAAATCCAGCATATTTACGTCAACTTATGTTGTACGTTCATCAATATGCACTGTCCCATCCAAATAAAAATGAAAAATGAAATGGATACGTCTACATTAATCCGAATACATTTGAAAATGGCGTTTTTGTCTCAGTGCGGATGAGAAACGTTTGGAAAGCTAAATTCCCCTTTACTGCGCATGCGTTAGACACATCACAGAAGCTCACTGAGAGGATACAGACGGGAAAATATATAAAGTCTCATAAATAAATATCTGATGGTCCAGGTCTCACTCACTCACTATTATATGTTTGGTCTAAAACACTAAAACTGCTCTCATGTTTAATCGCAGGACAGCAGATGTGAGTAAATTCTGTGCAGGACTGTGTTATGAAGAGTGTGTGAAGACACACATTAGAGCAACAGTGTGAAAGTGAACAGCTCATCACAGGCACAACACCGCTATAAACATCAATATCTATTGGTACAATACACACTACCGGCACATCCAGGAACTCAACTGTCAATTTCGTCAGAAAATAAACTAGACTTCCCATAGACTTCAATACAAAACGCTATAGAGCGTGAACGACACATCCTCAAACTTCATTTGGTCAATTTAAACACATGTCCCTTCATTCTCCCAGCGTCAAATTGGTGTAACAGCCCCACCCAGTGGAGTTATATATATATTATAAGATATAATATATACATTTAAAGATGTTTACTTTAAAAAACGAAGTAAAATCATTGGCTTTACCATGGTGACTCGATGAGGTACAGGTAAGTGTCCGGGTGAGACTCCTCTGGCCACTGGGTGGGGCTGTTACACCAGTTACACCAGTTTGACGCTGGGAGAATGAAGGCACATGTTTTTAAATTGACCAAATGAAGTTTGTGGATGTATCTTTCACGGCAGGGTGGACTTATAATTACTTGACATGTTTAATCTTAGTGATTTCTTAAGTTATTCATGCCTGTACGGACGTTGTTTTGTGACGCTATTTTGTATTGAAGTCTATGGGAAGTCTAGTTTATTTTCCCCTAAAAGTGGGCGTGAATCTGTTAGAGACATCATACAGGTGAACCTCGAAACATTAGAATATCGTGCAAAAGTTCAGTAATTCAACTTAAAGGTGAAACTAATATATTATATAGACTCATTACATGCAAAGTGAGATATTTCAAGCCTTTAATTGTTATAATTGTGATGATTATGGCTTACAGATATGAAAACCCCAAATTCAAAATTAGAATATTGTGAAAAGGTTTTCATATCTGTAAGCCATAATCATCACAATTATAACAAATAAAGGCTTGAAATATCTCACTTTGCATGTAATGAGTCTATATAATATATTAGTTTCAGCTTTTAAGTTGAATTACTGAAATAAATGAACTTTTGCACGATATTCTAATTGTTCGAGTTTCACCTGTATGATGTTGCGCCGGTTGTGAGTATATGCATCACAAGACTAAACTTATTATTGTTTTTAAATTCCTCCGTTTTGACAGTCCACACTACAATGTGAAAACGGCGTTTCCAAAAACGTTTTCAAAAAAGCTTCGTTTTCATGATTAAAAACGCCGTCTCGGTGTGAGCGGAAGGACAATCGGAGAGTAAAGCGAATGCGTGTTAGTGTGGACTGAGTCTGATTGCTTTCTTCTGCAGAAAACTCTCTGTTGCGGCCGGAGGACATCTGGATGCTGGACGGGGATGAGTCCATTACCCATGATCCTTTGTGTCGTCCCAGCAGACCCGATCACCTGGACTTCCTGAGAATCACACCGCCTGAGGATGACATCATCGGGGAAACTCCGTACTATCCGAAGCTTGGACTAACCGTGAGTCGATCAGCGCTGACACAACTAACATACAGTATATATGATGCTAGCCGGAACTTATAGTCATATCAGTGAAAATATGAGCAGTACAACTGTTTTCAACACTGATAATAATCATAAATGTGTCTCGAGCATCAGATCATCATATTAGAGTGATTTCTGAAGGATCATGTGACACTGAAGACTGGAGTAATGATTGATTTGATCACAGGAATAAATTACACTTTACTATATATTCACATAGAAAACAGCTGATTCACATTATAATAATATTCAGTGTTTTTGCTGTATTTTTGATCAAACATATGAAGTCTTGGTGAGCAGAAGAGACTCTTTCAAAAACATAATTTCTTTTTTAATTGTTCCAAACTTTTGGCCAGTTGTGTAGCTGAGAACATTTATGAGTTATTGTTCTTAATTTAGTTTTTGCTGCTCTTCTGTGGACATTCGAAGAAATGTTATCCACACAATCATGACGAAACGCACATTGATGTGCATAACATACAGTATATTAATCATATTTCTGTAAGAGTGCATCCGATTGATCTTTATCGGCCGATAATAGCTTTATATAGTTCGATCGGTGATTTAGATAAAGGCCAGATCAGCTGAAAACACACACAACGCATCTAAAACGGGAAAGTAATAATATATTTGACAAGAAATCTGAGGTATATTTTTACAGACTGCTAAAGCTACAGAACAGAGAAGTAGTGTGTGTGTGTGTGTGTGTGTGTGTGAGAGTATAAGTATAAATATGAATGGATGGGGTTAGAATTGTTGCATTATTCCAAATAAATAGATTTAGATTCACAAACAAGTGTAAAGCAGGGTTCCAGACTGCGACCAATTTTTGAGAATGTGCGAGTTAAAATTTTATGTGGTCGCATTTGGGGCGAATATACAATACCTTTAACGGAGAAAAGTAGCTCCGGCTACAATGTTCTTCCGCAAGACACTTGCAGTTTATTTATTAATGAACGTGCACGTCACGCGCATTGCACACTGATGGTGAAACGCGCCAATTAAGTCATAATAATTGTAAGTTAAATGTACAGTGTACGACATGTAAAAAAGACAAGAGGCTAACAATGTCAAGATCAATATTTGTGTAGCCTGGCACGGTGTTTTCACACTGCATCCGTTCCAGGAGCGGTGCGTATAAGTGCAGAGATCACACACACCGAGTCTATCTCTGCTGTGCTGCACGCGCTGAATTAAAGTGACAGCGCAGAGTTCGTGGTCAAAAGGAGCACAAATTGACATGACAATGAATTTCCTCATAAATGCATTTAATTAAATAAAATGTAGTAATCTCACCATAAATGCATTTAATTAAATACTACTATTTTTCACAGTCGTCTTTTTACTTTTAACTTTTTAATATTTTTTTTGAGAATATTTTGATTTGATAGTTAAAAGATTAAAACATTTTGCTAACATGAGGTCTTGTCACTGTCAGTCTTTTTACATCAGTGCAAAACTATGGTATGCAGATTAAGACCACTATTCATCAGCATGCATTGATTAATCCCATGGCATGTAAAAAAAAAAAAAAGGTGCGACCAAATCATATGCTGGTGCGACCAACTGAGAAAGTTAGTAGCACCAGTGCAACCAGTGGAAAAGTTAGTCTGGAGCCCTGTAAAGAGATTCAGAGTGGATCTTAATCTATTTATTTGTGAATTTGATACATTTTTGTGAATCTCTTTACACTTGTTTGTGAATCTAAATCTAATTATTTGGAATAATGCAACAATTCTAACCCCATAGAGAAGTAGTGTGTGTGTGTGTGTGTGTGTGTGTGTGTGAGTATAAATATGAGTGCATCGCTGTGATTCCCAGAAACGACTGGATCCAGGCAGAGAAAGCTGGATTTGCAGTTTTCATTGTGTATCAATATATTGAATTTAGAGGTAAAATCATAACCTACAGGTGAAACTCGAAAAATTAAAATATCGTACAAAAGTTATAATTTTGATGATTATGTCTTACTGCTTATGAAAACCCCAAATCCAAAATCTCAGAAAATTACAATATTACATGAAATCAAATTGAAATCAAAAAAGGATTTTAAATACAGAAATGTCGGCCCTCTGAAAAATATAATCATGCATATATATAAAGTTATATACTAAATATATTAGTTTCACCTTTTAATTTGAATTACTGAAATACATGAACTGTTGCACGATACTCAAATTTTTCGAGTTTCACCTGTAATATATTGTATTGTTATATATTGTATTGACAACTCATCAATTAAATATTCACCATTGTATATTCTGCATAATTAAATGTTTTAAATAAACACTGACAAAAACTATACAAGTTTTAGGACTGGACGATATGATGATATAACAGTGATAAACCGGATTTAGACCTATATTGTGTTTATATAAAGCGTTCACAGGCAAATTTGCTTCATGTATTTCCCCGGCGTCGAGATCAGGCTCATATAAATGAAACACGATTCTGCTGCATGTCAGTATCCACGACCACTGGATCTCTGGTGAGTTGTAAGAAACACTATATCGAGTCCAAGCTTTAGTTTAAACTGATAATCGTTTGTTTTACTCGTGTTTTCTCAGTTTCTCCTGTTACCAGGAGAATACCATAATGCATCTCCTATACCATAATGCATCTCATATACCATAATGCATCTCCTATACCATAATGCATCTCCTATACCATAATGCGTCTCCTATACCATAATGCATCTCCTATACCATAATGCATCTCCTATACCATAATGCATCTCCTATACCATAATGCATCTCCTATACCATAATGCATCTCCTATACCATAATGCATCTCCTATACCATAATGCATCTCCTATACCATAATGCATCTCCTATACCATAATGCGTCTCCTATACCATAATGCATCTCCTATACCATAATGCATCTCCTATACCATAATGCATCTCCTATACCATAATGCGTCTCCTATACCATAATGCATCTCCTATACCATAATGCATCTCCTATACCATAATGCATCTCCTATACCATAATGCGTCTCCTATACCATAATGCATCTCATATACCATAATGCATCTCCTATACCATAATGCATCTCTTATATCATAATGCATCTCCTATACCATAATGCATCTCCTATACCATAATGCGTCTCCTATACCATAATGCATCTCCTATACCATAATGCATCTCCTATACCATAATGCATCTCTTATATCATAATGCATCTCCTATACCATAATGCATCTCCTATACCATAATGCGTCTCCTATACCATAATGCATCTCCTATACCATAATGCATCTCCTATACCATAATGCATCTCCTATATCATAATGCATCTCCTATATCATAATGCATCTCCTATATCATAATGCATCTCCTATATCATAATGCATCTCCTATACCATAATGCATCTCCTATATCATAACGCATCTCCTATACCATAATGCATCTCCTATATCATAATGCATCTCCTATATCATAATGCATCTCCTATATCATAATGCGTCTCCTATACCATAATGCGTCTCCTATATCATAATGCGTCTCCTATACCATAATGCATCTCCTATACCATAATGCGTCTCCTATACCATAATGCATCTCCTATATCATAATGCGTCTCCTATACCATAATGCATCTCCTATACCATAATGCATCTCCTATACCATAATGCATCTCCTATACCATAATGCATCTCCTATATCATAATGCATCTCCTATACCATAATGCGTCTCCTATACCATAATGCATCTCCTATACCATAATGCATCTCCTATACCATAATGCATCTCCTATATCATAATGCATCTCCTATATCATAATGCATCTCCTATATCATAATGCATCTCCTATACCATAATGCATCTCCTATACCATAATGCATCTCCTATACCATAATGCATCTCCTATATCATAATGCATCTCCTATATCATAATGCATCTCCTATATCATAATGCGTCTCCTATACCATAATGCATCTCCTATACCATAATGCATCTCCTATACCATAATGCATCTCCTATATCATAATGCGTCTCCTATATCATAATGCGTCTCCTATACCATAATGCATCTCCTATACCATAATGCGTCTCCTATACCATAATGCATCTCCTATACCATAATGCATCTCCTATATCATAATGCATCTCCTATACCATAATGCATCTCCTATACCATAATGCATCTCCTATATCATAATGCATTACCATAATGCATCTCCTATACCATAATGCATTTCCTATACCATAATGCATTTCCTATACCATAATGCATCTCCTATACCATAATGCGTCTCCTATACCATAATGCATCTCCTATACCATAATGCATGTCCTATATCATAATGCATCTCCTATACCATAATGCATCTCCTATACCAGAATGCATCTCCTATATCATAATGCATTACCATAATGCATCTCCTATACCATAATGCATTTCCTATACCATAATGCATCTCCTATACCATAATGCGTCTCCTATACCATAATGCATCTCATATACCATAATGCATCTCCTTTACCATAATGCATCTCCTATACCATAATGCATCTCCTATACCATAATGCATCTCCTATACCATAATGCGTCTCCTATACCATAATGCATCTCATATACCATAATGTGTCTCCTATACCATAATGCATCTCCTATACCATAATGCATCTCCTATACCATAATGCGTCTCCTATACCATAATGCTTCTCCTATACCATAATGCGTCTCCTATACCATAATGCATCTCCTATACCATAATGCATCTCCTATACCATAATGCATCTCCTATATGCATCTCCTATACCATAATGCATCTCCTATACCATAATGCATCTCATATACCATAATGCATCTCCTATACCATAATGCGTCTCCTATACCATAATGCATCTCATATACCATAATGCATCTCCTATACCATAATGCATCTCCTATACCATAATGCATCTCCTATACCATAATACGTCTCCTATACCATAATGCATCTCCTATACCATAATGCG